GCATTTTAGTAAAACATTTATTCAGCAAACCATCATGAATTGTTCAAACACTTTGAACGTTGTTTATGTATCAATAGTTCGTGGCCTATTTTGGTAATTTTTATTACAAATTACCAATCTAAATCGTCTATAGTAGGCCTACTGTACTTCATTTCATATAGCAAACCGATTCAGATAGCATTTCGACAGAATTTCGAGTCATCTCCGGTCCAAGCAAATATAAATTGTTATGATCAAATTTTATGGCATTAACAAAAAAGATTTCAAGTACTAATTTTATATGTACCTTTTTATGCTTAAAGCGTAGCAGATTCCCTAATTAAGTTCGGTATTTTTGTCTGTATGTATGATGGTAACGCATTAATGTCCTTGTTTCTCAATGTTTCACGGAAAGGACAAGAGCGCCTTGATAATGAAAATGTCAACCCGAATAAAGTGTTAAATTAAGAGGTTGAAAGTGTTAAATTAAGAGGTTGAGGTAGTACCTTAAATACTTTTAACCATTATGTTATAGTCCTTTAAATTCTGAACAAAATTGTACAAATCCCATTTCCGTATATTTGCTCTCACCGCTTACACATGATAAAGGTTGTTGACAAACTTATGGGAGAAAGTATGTGTCAGAATGCTGATACCGTTTATTTAGTCATTGGATATAACATATGGACCAACAAGATCCGGGTGACATTTAATTGCGAAGCATTAGTTTTGGCTTGATACTGTCAGATACTGTATTTGCGAAGGAATAGTTTTGTCAGCATATCTGAAAGTATGCAAACCAACTGCTGTGCTTTATATAAGAAGGTTTTAACTGACTATGATAAGATCCCCGTGCGTAGAACGGGCACACAGCTAGTTATTGCACTAAAAGAAAGAAACTTCACTTTTCACGTTAATTTTCGCGGTTTTAATGGCTTAATTGGTATTATACTTTTCCGATGAGCTCGGTTATCTACGGAGGCTGATCAATTGGGGCTCAGATTATCGTGAGTCTGCATAATATGCTGTATTGGGGAAACCTAACCTCATGTTCAAATTTAATGTTAGAAAAGTCATTATAACATGTACCATACCATATTTACTCATATTAACTCAGTGTGTTACTTAAAAAAAAAATGATTTCAATATTAAAGTTACTTAAAATCATTGAAACACCTTTATTGACAGTACAGTACACTTAATACGAGTCCCGTATATCAATTCACTATTGACATAATGTGTGCGGCACATTTAATCTAAATCTGGCCTGGTTTACCTTAGCTATTATTTCCCTCGAGGTTCAATAACCTGGGGGGCGTCCTCCCCCCATAACGGGTAGAAGGGCAATCCTAATCCCTTGTTGACAAACAACAGTGTCTTTGTTACGGGCGACCACGAGGGACTGCTGGCATCCTCACGCTATTCAAATTACGGAGATTTCTATATTTGAGTCTGCAAGTTATGTGGCATTTCCAATTGTCAATTTGGTCTTCAACATCAACGTTGACATTGACAAACGAGTGGACGTACAGAGAATTTGAGGAAGACGGAAAACTCCACGCTGGGAGGGTTTCGAATATTTTTTCAAGCACCTTTAATAAGATGATCCTTTTTTGAAATAGGACAAGGCCATAAATAAAACTAGCGTCAGTGCTGTGACCCTTGAGGCATTTAGGGGTCGTTTTTTTATTAATGACAGTTCAGTTAACTACACCACACCACCTGTTTCTCAATCCTAATATTTGTAAAGTAGGCCTACTGTTAGGACCAAGCCTTGCTCAGTAGTATTTTGATTTCGACTAGTTTTTGTTATTACTGTTGATCAAGATTCCTTAAATAAAGCGTAGGCCTACTAAGAAAACACATGCGAATTGTTAATGTTAACACGAAAAACGATTATTATAAAACGTATTTTATTGTTATGTTTACAGAAACATTGAGCGAACTGTACATTACAAAATAGATGACCCGGCGAACTTTGTACCCCATAAAAGTAAAAAAAACCAAATCAACCGGCCACCTTTATAAGCCTTTTAAAAAACAATCACAGACAACATAAAACAGCTGAAAATGACTTTCAATTACATTACCTGTCAAATGTTTAATCAGCTGTTTCGAAAATATTTAAATTAATGTATGCATATGGTCAAAATCCATCATATTTTTCTTCATACGCATAACATACATATGTGCGGCTTAGCCCTAAATTTAAATACTGAACTGAAGATACATGTGTTAATCGGGTTAAAGACGAATCCAACAAATCATAAATCATTAAAAAGATCCAGCCGGTCTCGAGTTACAAACTGCTTAACTAACACGACATCATGGCATGTAGCGTATATCTAGATGCATACTAAGAAAGTGTTTAAAAGTATTTTTTCTCAAAGTCCTGATATGATGTAGAAAATCCATCATAGCGACCACTTTCAATTTCCATAGCTTTATATATTTTAATTCACGTAAATTTCACGCCTAAATAACCCCATTTCAGAAGATTTGCATATTCAGTGTAACCATAGCTCGAGTTATACATTACTTGATTTTAGAGTTTTGGTCAAAGAAGGAAGTACCGGTAATTATTTTATAGGTCAAGCCTACTTGCGTTCAACCGCATCTTGTTTACAAAAAGGTAAATTAAGTAATAAATTACAGCATCTCAAATATATCATAATTTATCACTCTATAATGCATAAAAATATCATTTCATTGAAATAATATTAGTTAACTGAATGATAAATTGTAATTTCTTTGATAAGCTGTAACTTCTGAATGAAAAAACCTTTTTTAACCAGGTTAACGCACACCCCCTTACGAAAAATGACTGCAAGGTTTCATTCAATTGTGCCAAATACTTTAGTAGGTATCAGACGTTTTCCAAATTATAAACTTGAGTTTAATGGCATAATATTAAAAGCCTTGATGAACTGTAACTTTGATTAGATGGACCATTTACGAAGCGGTTTGTGCTGTTAAAGTTTATGTTATTATCAATGTGTATGCATTAATTGACATGCATCAAGTATTGACACGTCTCTGTTTTCAAACATCAGACTAGTAAGTAAAACGAAAAGGTGGGCCTATTGAGGGCAGCGGTGCCAATCTGTCGTATACTGTTACGACTGATTGGCACCTCTGCGGCCGCCGTCAGCTTGGCACCACGACAGATTGGCACCTGCCTTTTCTAGAGGTTCCAATCTGTCGTGTACTGTTACGACTGATTGGCACCTCTGCGGCAGCCGTCAGCTTGGCACCGCGACAGATTGGCACCACCCCTTTCTCCAGGTTCCAATCTGTCGTGTACTGTTACGACTGATTGGCACCTCTAGGAGCGGTGCCAATCTGTCGCGGTGCCAATCTGACGCGGTGCCAATTAGACGCGTACCCCCTTGAGTGTCCCCGGGCCCGGCTGTGAGAGTGATTCATGGTTTTTTGTTTACATTCTACTACCCTTCCTTCCGAGAAAAAGACCCTACAGTTTCAAAAACATTGACTTACAGTATAAAAACATTGAGTTGTGTTGCTAATTAGGGCACTATAATGTCTCTGCTGTCTGCTTATGTTGCCAAATTAGCATTTAACTTTCTTTTCTCTTGATTTAATATAATTTTCTATATATTAAGAGTTCCTTTTCGGGTACCTAATAATTGTGATATTGTTTGACTTGAGTTTATGGATTTTTAATTCTTTTAATTTATTAGCTAAAATCAGTTGTTTTAGGATTTTAATCTCTTGCAATACCTATAACTGTGCCTATAACTGTGTATCTATAACTGTGTATGACATGATATGCAATTTTTACAGTCTTTACTATAACTATACCATAAACAATGTATGTGTGTTATTTATTGTTTTAGAGTTTTATAGTAAATTAGTTTACACAATATCTTTTCTTCAATGAGTTCTCCACTTGTTATGTTGCTTAGTAGGCCCTATACAAAATAATTCCTATGTAAAGCTGTAGGCCTACTAATGCCAATAATAGATAATTCTTTATTTATGATGATGTAACTAATAATGCTATTGTAAGTGTGAGGTTTTTGTACTTAGGAGGTTAGGAGGCAGGGAATGAATGATTCATATTGCATGGTGGAAACATAGAATTTTTATTTTCTTCTTGTTTGCAGTCTTGAAGCCAGTCCACAGGCCCTAAACTTGTGATAAGGTTAATTGATTTGTTTATGATCCATTTATATTAAGTTCCATTACAAACTTGTTGTAATATAGCTGTTTAGATATTTCAACAGTTATGAAAATGGGAAAGAATGGCTTGATAAAAAAAATTATTTTCTTCTTTCTTGCAGTTGAGGCAACTCCTAAGCTGTAAATAAGTTATGAACATGAAATAATATACATAAATACAATCTTTTTCCATATGTTATTTTCAAGTAATATTATAAACACAGATAGGAGTTAAAAAAAGAAAAAAAATCCGGTAATTAATAATTTTTGGCCCGACCCGATTTTGGCCCGAAACCCGAGGACCAAAATTATTGGCCCGACCCGACCCGACCCGAACCAAAAAAGTCTGACCCGCAGACCCCTAGAGAAAAGTGAGCAATTGACTCACTCAAGAGAAATCCTTACTCACGAGCCGTGAGGAATGGTTTCTCGAGTGAGGCAATTGCACTTTGCACTCGAGTTGCACATTATATTTTTCCTACAGTTACCATAAACCAAATAAATTGGTGAAGAAATATAACCTATTTTTACACAGAAGTGAACTTTTAATATAACATTTAATGTGAAGTGACAAATACAACAGTACAACAGCTGACAAGCTGATTTACAGCCAGTGCTGCCAACATATTTCGCGCGCATACGACGTTGCCTGCATGTTACGCGCTCACTATTTCATGCCTTCACGTTGCAAATCTGGAGTGAGACAAAGTAATTAGAGTGAGACAATGTTAACATTGTCTCACTGATGAGCGAATTGGCCACTTTGCTTTCTCAAATCAGTGAGAGAACATGTACATTGTTAGGTAACTGTAGGAAAAAAATATTTTCTTTGTTGACAGTTCTGAGAGGCACTGATCCCAGTGTCAACGTAGTGCTACTAGAGGACTGTGCTGCCGTAGTAGGTGTAGCTACTGCTGGCGTGTGTCTGATGTTGTCCTCCTACTTCAACTCTCATATACCTGACGCTATTGGCTCTCTCATCGTCGGAGGGATCCTGGGATGTGTGGCGTCTTTCATCATCTACACCAATATCGCTGCTTTAGTTGGCAGGTACAGATTGAATTCTCTCAGATATTCTGCTTGTTAAATTTAGTATAGAATATTTTGCATTTTAAGTTTTAAGATTCAAACTTGAGTGGAATAAACACACCATCATTCACAAGCACGCATGCTTATTTCACATCCGGCATATAGGAATATAACAATTGTTCATAGTGAAATAAAACTATTCTTCTACTTATGATTCAACATTATTAACTTTCAAAAATATTTTTTATGTTAAGATGAATTTTCAAAAGTGTTATTTAACCCTTAACTACTACTTGCAGGCAATTTTTATGAGGGTTGTCTGTAAATAAAGACCTCCAATAAGCTCTGTTTGCAGCCAAGCGAGCTAGTTTGAATCTAAAACCGGCGCAAGTTGATTGGTTGCGACCAGAGGTTGTTGGGACTCGTTGAGACTATGATGAAGAAAGCAAATAAAATATACTTCATGCTTTCTAATGGACTGGTTAAAGTCCACATCCTTCACACCATTATGTTTGATTCCATTTTCAAACTACAATAAATTTCTCATTTGACTATATAAAAGTAACAATTTTCAGGTCAATCCCTCACGAGTATCTGGAGAAGATCAACATGGAGCTGGAGTCTGACGTAATGATACGAGCGATCCACGATGTGAAGGGTATAGACATGGGCAACTCACTCATCAGATACAAGGCTGAGGTGGACTTTGACGGACGGGAGCTGACGAGGTCCTACCTGGACAAGCAGGACCTAAACACCCTACTGGAGGTGAGGTGACAAGTAGTTAACCATTGCTAAGCCCCTGGTGCATTCTCGTGACAAACCTGGTTGCGGTTCGGTCATCAACATAAGTTGTAAACGTTGTAATTAAAATAGAACCCGGTAATTTAAGAAACTTCCTGAAAATGTTGACACTGTGAGGTGGATTTCCGCTTAGTGATTATGTCAAATTGTACAATATAATTCTAACCACAAATTACTGTATACAAGTTTTTGTAAATTAGGAATAATCCCACTAGATTGCCTCTAAGGACATTAAATCTTTGCCCTACAGTAGACTCCCTCTTATCCGGACTCTTCGGGACCGAGGCCAGGCCGGATAACGGCTTTTCCGGTTAAACCGACGTCCTCAAAAACTCGTTAAAACGGACCGTTTAAATGCATACGTACGGTATACAGTATTTTTAGGAGAGGATTGTATTTAGACACGTGATCACTGGTCTGAAATCTTTCCCACGAGAACAGTCATTTCAGTACCGCCCACTACCTGCCGATCTAGCCCGGTTAAACCGATGTGCTGATAAAAATTGTCCAGTTAAAGAGATGTCATTTCTGCCGAGTGTAGTCCGGTTAAACCGATGTCCGGTTAAAAGGTTTCTGGATAAGAGGAAGTCTACTGTACTCCAATTTTCCTTTCTCTCAACAAAAAATATGCCAATTTAAAAAATAACCAAAATGCGTGTAATTTATTGAGTGTTTTTTTTTTTAATCAGGAAGTGAAAAACTTCAAAAACATCGATGAATTTGAAGGATTTATGCTGAAACACAGTGAAAACATAGTGGACATGATGGGAGGTGAAATCGACAGGATCGAAATGAAACTCAGGGTAAGTATTGAATTTTTGTAGTAACAATTTTATTGTTGTATTGTGTTGGCAACAGGAAGAACAGAACAGAAATACATGGAAATTAGGGATAAACATGAAACCTTTAACTATTGATACAACTAGACATTCCATCCCCACGTTAAAGTTATCGCCAGTTTTTTAAAAATCAAAATCGTCGTGGTTGATGTGAGCCAACAACAGATTGTGCTGGTGTAAATTACTGATTTCTGTTGAATACACAAACTTTTTACCAAGTCAAACTGATGGAACAACGTATTGTGAGCTATAGCAACTGTTGGCCTATCAACTATGTCAGCTACAAATAATAAGGTGGAGAATATAATTTTGGACACTAGCACGTTCTGTGTCTGGCTCACTCAAAAATGTTCTTTTTTATTGACAACAGCTGGTCCATATAGATGGAATGTATACTTCAGTATTCAGCAGTCAATGGTGAAACTTACCGATATAATTTTTGCACAGCTGCTAGACTCTCCCTGACTTCCTTTGAAAAAAGACTAGTAAAAAAATATCTTATGAAGCTGGCATTTTGAAGCAACTGGCAGAGTAGACTTTTAGTATTTTTTCACATAAAAGTCTTTTAGGCTGTATTCTGAATTTCATATTTAGTTTTTTCACTTCCACCTATTTATAAAAATAAAAATGTTATGTTTCTTACAGAAAAAGTTCCCCGATGTGAGGCATTGTGATTTAGAGATCTTGTAAGGCCTAAAAACCTGGTGAAGCGAATGCTGTGATAGAAAAATGAATATGTGAGTAGTCTTATTAATTTACTACTTAAAAATATTCCTCGTACTGTTTTCTGAATTCACAGTTGTATTTCAAGGTTTTCGATTATTGCCTGGAATGTGATAGATTAAGATATTGTAACAATTGAAGAGACAGTTAGGCTACTATGTTTTATGATGTTGCCGCAATCACAATATACGATCATATCACAGTCATTGTTGGACAAGGTTATTTTGTTCTCGGTACTGTGGTCCAAGGAAATTTTTAGAATCTTGTAAAAATTACCAGAGATCATCATAACATCAAAATTGGGGTAAAAGGTTGCAGTGTCATTGGAATTCTGGCAGATGATCATGATATGACTGAGTGCAGAAGCTGATATTGCTGTAAACAAGAGTTTTTTGCACTAGAAAGTTGTTGCTTTAACCATGATGTACATTTTCTGTGTTGAGAGTGTCATGAAAATTTGTTTCAGCGCTGTAGCACTCGAGGAAAAGATGTGAATACATTGTACATACTTTGTACCCCACAGATAGATTATTCCTAAAGATCTGAATATAGAATAGGCGAACACACATTTTAGTGCTAGTACTCCTTCATTTCATGTTGTTTGTTGTTGTTCCGGATCGGTATGACATTTAATAAAAGGTTAAATTACCTGTGTCCGCTGGTTAATCCTAATGTGCTGTATCTTTACAGGAGATGCATTTCGGCAAAATTAAGTTGCCATCATCAGTCCTATTATAAGGTCTAAGTTAGTACTCGATTATGGATTCTCAAGCGATTTTGTTAGTTTATGGCTCATTGCTCGTTTGAAAGAACTTATTTGAGTAGATGTCATTAAGGTCTGATAAGGTTTGCCCCAGTTGCCTTTAAAGTTCCCGTGTTATCCTTGTTGTCCAAATAACGGCAACTTATCTCAGTATCCCATGAATCCAAATCAAGCTCAATACAAAAATGCCTTTTGGGATTAAGTCAGACAATCATAAAATACGTACGAATATTGTTCAGGGATCCATAAAACATGAGATCTGAGAAATCTTGTTTACAAATATACAACTTTAATGTTGTTGCATTGATATAATGAAATGTATTTTACAAAAACATCAAATGGTCTGTAAAGTGTTATTTTTATAATTTTGACAGTCGCCAAGAGTTTTGTTTGAATACAGGAAAAGTAGTGATTTTGATCAATGTTCATATTAAATTTAAAATAAAATTTGTCACTAAAATATACCATAAAAATGAACAAACAGGGAAAAGAACTACAGAAGATAATTGTAGTGTAAATATGTGTAAATAGGTTGACTTTATCTAGGAGTCAAATTCAGGAAAATTGTATCACGGAGGTATATTAAATAATTGGTGTTGTTTAGGCTGCAACAAAGATGCCGTTGGAACGGCCAAAGTTGACTCCAGATGAAGTGAAACTCATCTTGTAAATCCGAGCTGCGACTTGTCCAGCCATTTTTTATAAGTTACCTCTAGAGCCACAAGTTGTGTGAAAGTGAAATGATTATAGATATAGTACTAACTTATTTTGTAATATTAACTGTACAGCTTTATTATTTTTGTACATAGTGGCAATATATCGAGTGGGTGTTTTATTTAATTTATCAGTAGACTGGTTTTATTTACGTATTTATTTTGTCATGAGAGCTTTATTCAGTATTAATTATAGACATTTTTATAACCATCTAACTATATAATGTGTTTATAGCTAAGCTATTGTTAATCAATGTGAATATCAGCTTGAAAGGTATAGTTATTAATTTTTTTTTGTAGCACTAACATTTTGGATTTTTAAGGGTTAGTCTTATAATTAATCATACTTACAGTGCCTAAAATAGTTCTGTGGTAAGTACATGCAAACCGTTGCCGAGATTGAAGAGGCTTAAAATAGAAATCTGATATAATTGGTTACCCTACTTGCCACGGTTTTGTTAGTCAAACGTGCACTAAAGCAAAAGTAAATAGAGATAATACTACTGCACTAGTTTTTTTGTAATTTCACTACTACATTAAATCTAATAGTAGGTAGCATAATCCTACTATTTTAATATCATCCAAAATGTAAGCGAAACATTTTTCTTTCTTTCTTGTAAAGTGTTAAAAATATTATCAAATGTGTTTTTCTTTGTGGAGTGTTTTAGTTATAATGTTTTGCCTTAAAATAGATCTTAGTGTAAATGCTGCTTAAATGGTTGATATTTTAAGACAAAATCATTCCAGTTAAGAATATTTGTCTAGAGTAATCATGCTATAACAAATTTCAAATAAGTCCAATAGTTTACAACTAATAATATATATAAAGTGATTTTGAAAGAAATGTCATATTTTTTCTTGAATTTCAACTTTTTTAAATGCTTTGTTTAAAAGCATAATGGACTTTTTGTCCTAGGACGCTAGGCACAAGTTTGGGATTGTTTTTCACATTACTTCAGGCTAGACCTAGGGGTTGCGGTAATATCACTTAGGAAAAATCCATTGGTGATTTGGCGGGATTTAAACCCGGGACCTCAGGGACTAAAGTCCCGCGCTCTAACCACTAGACCAACTCGCTACCCCCCAAAAAAAGTATAATGGACTAAGAACTATGGAAACAATCATGAAGTATTGCATCCTAGTGTTGCCTTTAAACCTAAACTTATGTTTTGGTACCTGATGCGTCACTGTTTTGGAAATAAAAGAAACACAATTAATTCAACTGTAACTTAATGGTGTGATTAATAAATAGTATGAATGAAATGAGTGGACTTTATAATAAAGCACATGCCCTTTACAGTTTTGTACTTGGTGTATTTACATCAAGTTCAGTTGGTACTTTGACTTGATCTAAAATAAATAAGAAATACTAGATTTTTAAACTATTACATTTATTTGATTGATAATCGAGCTTGCTACTGTAAGTTAATCGTAAATAGGGTTTACCCACTGTTAACGTTACCTATGTATTTATTGATAAACTTGTTAAGACAATTTTCCCCTCCAATCAAAGAAATTAACTTCATTATTTTGTATGTTAGCAGCCAATTAATCCCTATATTATATTTACAAACAAATTCACAATCCCAAACAAGAGAATAATTTTATAGCCCGGTTCAGATGAGGGTCCATATGAGCAGACCAGTGTCAGACTGTTTCCATTTTTAAATGAACAGTATAACCAAAACTGACACATACTTTCTCCTATTAGCTTGTCATCAACTCTAATCATGGAGCAAGCGGTTGGAGAAACAATGGTATTTTATGGGTAAAATCGCCAAAGTAGGAATAATTTTTTAATCGTTAATTTTTACAGCATTGAGGGTTGTGAAGTTTTTTTTTATTTATCTGTTATTTTAAGTGAAAATCACCATTAAAATCAAAATTTCCGAAAAATTAAAAAATAACCTGGATATACTGTGGATTGGTACCCTCATACCAAATTTCATCAACATCACATGTGTGGTCTGTATCTCTGTACACTTCCACACACACAGACACAGGCATCACTTCAAAAACCACTTTTTTGGGTTCAGAGGGGCCCAAAATAGATATTCCCACCCAAAACTACAACTCAATTTTACAAACAAGAATTTTACAAAATCAATACTTTCTCCATATTATACTGTATAGGGGGGGGGGGGGAAGTAAAACAAGGCACATGTCATGTCCTGACTAAAAATCCTATGATGGTGCATGGAAATGGAAACAAATCATCCATATGTGTTTACGGTTCAAGTATAATTTCATCATTTCATGCGAGTATTGTTTATACCTTCCCAGCTGAGTCTTAGATACTTTTTTCCAAACCACCAGCAAAAATATAACCATAGCACACACAGCCACACCTCACAGTAAGCAGCTGGTTCCTGTCTTTTTGTAGATAAGAAACGCAATGTTTACAGAATGAGCTTAGTAAATCCAGCTGGAGCTGGTAATATCAGCTGGATTTCAGTTGGAGCTCGTTAAAATCAGCTGGAGTGAGGTAAATTTACTGAGTACTCTTACAGTGTACTTAAAAAAAAGGCATTAATGAGTTTCTTCAGTAAGCTCTCATCCATTTTAACATAAATAATAATAATTCAAATGACACTTTCACAATTAATATTGGAAAGGTTTAAAATCATTATAAAATGGTGTGTTAAAATAAAATTGTGTTTATTTAACAGTGAGTGATTGTATGTAAGTGTTTTATCTTTGATTATTGATCAAATTAAACATTTCATCCCCATGTTAAAGTTGTCACCAGTTTATAATCAAAATGGGCTATTTGTAAACTGCCATTGACAGATTGTGCTTATAAATTACTGATTCCTATCGTATGCAGACCTTTTAACCAAATCAAACTGATTGGATGACTTATTGTAAGCGTAGCATCTTTCATGTCATTTCACTATCTCAGTAACAAAGCGTAAGGTAGTAAATAGAATTTTAGACACTAGCGCAATCTGTGACTTGCACACTCAACTACGTTCTTTTTTAATAATTGTTGACAGTTGGTCCATATTAGAATAGATCCCTTCTTCAGTATCCAAAAGTCAGTACTACCATAGATAAGACATACTCCCTTAGTAGATTTCTCATCCTTATGGAACAGCTGAAGCCAATTTTATTGTTAATTCTGTAGGGAGCACTGTAAAGGTCGTGTCTTGTTTACTATTTGTTTCTTGTTATTGAAGTTATTTACAGCCTCGTTTAACCAAATAAAATGATCTAATCATAAACAATAACTCGTCCCCTAGTCATATAATCGTCCTGTAATCCAGCTACTAGGAGGTCACGAATTGTGGATATTTATTGGCATGCACTGTGGATGCGATGCTCCCTGTGTGGATTAACGTCCGCACTAGTGAGTACTACGACTATCCACAGTACTATCCTGATAATTAGACCAATTCATTAATTACAAGGAAAAATGTGGTTCGGATTCCACTATAAACTGAAGGTCCCTTTGTTGCCCATTAGCTGTATGGGCTATTAATTAACAGCTGTGCCTAAGGAATATGTCGGCCTTAGTCACTAACAAGACTACAAGATCGCGCCACTCATTCTACACTCATCCTTCACTCATATTTGGGTTAAAATACGCACATAGTTGTGTCCCCATCTTAAAAAAATGATAATTGATAAAACGAAACGGTAAAGTACAAATCATTAAATTAACCCTAAAATTATAGAAACAAAATTTTGTCAACACTAGCGATCAGTGTAAATCACCGGACATAAACTAGACACGAAAAGCAAGCTTCAAAATTTACTATGTGATGAGAAGTATACTGGTGTTGGTTAGTTTCTGGTTTTACTTACCCCGTTATTTTTTGCTGGTAGTGTGGCAAAAAGTATCATACACAACTTGCCTGCCAAGGTGTTAAAGGTACTTGCATTAAATCCTGGACTCGCCTTCGTGCTTATAACTACCTCCAGGTCGTGTAGCGTAATAAACTGTTTGATGATATACAAAAATTTTCGTGTACGTATGCACCTGCTACTACATAGAAATCAGTGAATGGGATTAGAAATTGTGAAATTGTATTTTGGGTTTATGGGACAATCTTTGATTTAAAGATTTCCCAGATGTTATTAAAAGATATGATATTGATCTTACGTGTTTTGTTTGGACTTGATTATTTACTTTTAAAACTTTTTTACAGTTCAGCCCACCCCAGTATTTAGATATTAGGAATATTATTTTCAATAGTGCTACTTAAAAGACTGTATGATATAAAATTTAAAGTTTAGTATGTTATTGGTGTAATTTGTTATTTCTAAGACAGTTTTAATTATAACTTAGAAATGTTAATGGTTTCAAAAATATCCATCCAAACATATTTGTAAAATAAATGGTAATTTTTTTCAACTGTAACCTTTGTTTTTTAATCATCCTAATATAGTTTTTAAGTTATAGTTAAATTAAATTGTTTTCTAGAGATGTTTTGTCCAAAAGTAGTCGTTAAAATATGCCTAGAAACAACACTTTTAACCATAGACAAATAGACAAATATAGACCGTCAAAGGAAGGTTCTGCGATGTGCCACTAGAGCTTCCTCAGTGTTGGTCGATTCGATGCCGTTGTCGACTCACTGTCTGCTACCAGCACTATCACCCTTGCAAACGCTACCAACGTATCAGACTATCTTTTCAATATGGGTAAAGTGTAAAATTCTAAAATCCCGTAATTTTAACAAAAAAGCCTTTTTATTAAATCCCCGGAAATTTTTTAAACACGGAAAAATAACGGAACAAAGTCCTACTCCCCGGATTCCGGGGAATTCTCCAGAAGTTGGCAACCCTGGCTCAAACTACCAACTTGTCATGGCAACGCTCGCTAGCGCTTGACACTGCAGCGGTTTGCGCCGAAACTACACGGCACTCCTAGCGGTGGACGCCAGAATATATGCTAATCGCAGCACTGCTGTCTGTCTATATTTAATTCTTTTGTCTATGCTTTGAACACAATACAATACTGCACTCCTTAAAGTACAATAATCGATCATCTAATTTTTGACAGAATACATGGACAAAACATAGGCAAACTCACAGAAAAGACTGAAAGACAATATTCAAATTAAATTAGGATTTATGTGATACAAAAGTTTTGATTGATATTGATATTGGAAAATTGGAGATATTTTATATGCTATCCTGTCCTCTCAGGCATCTAAAGAAAATAATTTTCCTTAAAGGAAATTAAGTTAGTAGGTACAAAGAAATATTCTATGGACTACACTGTGGTGAAAAATCAATTAAAAGATACTGTGTAACTATTGTTATTGTTGCCACAACTGAAGTGAGTTATTCACACAATTTTCCTTTGTATAAGCGTAAGCAAGGTAAATGTCTTGACAATCTTTTGGGGCTTAGTTCCTCACAGGGGTAGACTGGGCTGCCTGTCTACCTGCCACATGGCAGCTCCTACAAGGAAACTATAATTTTGCCAAGTTTGATCAAAATATAAACAAGCAAAATACAACATTTTTCAATATTCTCCATAAGGATAACATGGGAATTTTAAATTAAATTTTTTTTTCGCGGTTCCCGGCGTATTTCCACGCCGTACAAAAACACTTTGATATACTTAATTATTTGTTTTTTGAGCTCTTTAAAAAGGTTTAGAAAGAATAAATTGGGAAATTTTATGTTTTAAGGGTCAAAAATTAGAAAAACCAATTTTTACCCCATAAAACCCCGTTCCCACGGTCCGATCATGCTGGTTCGCAAACTCATTCAAGTTTATACCGCCTTACACCTTTAAGCTTTAAAGATATTTTTGATTTTGCTGTGACCACGGAAGATGTTCTCGATTATGCTGTGACTGCGGAAGATGTTATTGATTTTACAAGGACCATGAAGACGTTCACCTTTTCGCCATCACCACAAAAGATTTTGCCGTAACCGCAGAAGTGTCACAATTAAAAATTGGTAATGCCGGTGTATTTCATGAGTATTTACGCAAACAAATATAGTTTGTAACTATATAGTGTTAAACACTTCTAAATTGGTCTCATTTGTACTTATAATAAAAGAAAACGGCACTGAAATTTCCCGGCGAAACTCCAAAATTCTCGTATAGTTCCCGGTTTTCCCAGAATACTAGTCTGTAACAACCCTGGATTTTAAACACAAATTGTTGGTCTAAAACTGCTATTTTTTCAAGGTCTTTTTTAACAGATTTCCCCTTCCCCAGAACCCCCGTCCCGGTTCCGCCGCCAACAAAATTATACTAATCCACCATTGTAGGAAATTCCTATTCCTGATTTTCTTGTATAGGATCCTTACAGTGTACATGATAACAACAACAGTACAGTACTAATAAAATTTTTATAGTAAATAGTAATAATTAATGTTAGTATCAACAGTATAATAGCAATACTCTATTGTCAGTGCCAATAGAAACCGCCAATAGGGAACCGCTGAAGTAGAGTATAGTGATGAAAGATGAAAGCGCAGGCAGTGCCGACGCCGAGCAGGGAACCTAGAGAGTCGTGAAGGCGGAGTGATTTGAGTTGTCACGGGAGTGGCGCGAGCTCGTACAATAATTTCAAAACACAAACGACAAAATTGCTGTAGAAGTATTTATCCAATTTATCAGGTTATATGTCAGTGACCCTACTGTATTAATTCAAAATAGTGTAATAGTTTTCATTTTTTTAATTGCCATTTCAACTTTACAGCAAAATGTTATAATTGCGAATAGGTGTTTCCAAATTGACTTTTAAGTAATGTGATAATTATTTCATTAGCTTTTTGCGCTATTAGCTCTTAGTAGGAAGCCATCCTTTCTATAATCGTCCATTTGAATACTTATTTTAGAGATGTTTTATGGAAATAAATCACTTTCTGATTCTACCTTCAGGCCAACCTAAAATTGTCAAATTTAAATGCATCGAGAAAGTAAAGTGAAAGTGATTTTGTTCGGACAGGTTTAGGTTAGGTTTGTGACACTGGCGGTCTGCCATCTTCCATGTTCTATCGGTTCATGTTTTAATTAACCCCATTCCGGTCCGATCGACGATAAACAACGCCTGTAGACGTAGTTTTTCGCGGTTTGGCGGTAAAGAAGCAGCTTTCACGTATCGATCGAGAATCGATACTCGAGTCGGAATCGATTGAACAAGTCTCGAACAGCTGTTGAAGGAAAGTGTTGATTTATTTAGCCTAGTTTGAAAATTACGAGTTGTAGTTTTCTTTCCCATGTAGGTAGAAGTTGAATGGGGGCGGCTGTGGTTAGGTCGAACGATGAACTTTAAACTACCGGATGACCGATCACGTATAAGCACGGAAAACATCATGGACCCTAAATCTATAATCAAATGTCAAATTAAAACATTGAGAATTGCCCTTTCCATTTCATCGTCCATTTCATATTAGACGCTGGACGCTTCATCGTGAGACAATGGATCAGTCAAATAATAATTTGTCATTAGATAGATTTTACGACACGGCTGGGCACATTGAGGGGTGAATATCGAATTTCCCGCTGTCAGTAAATATATTTCTTCATACTGTTGATCTCGACAATGTGATTGTGGGAAGTCTAACTTTATAGAGTTTGTCTTTTACTTTCTTCCCAGACAAGTTGTCTCGTCGGTATTTAGGACTGACTAGGATAGGCGCGGAGACAAAACATTACACAATACAAATAGTTAGGCAACACACTGGTTTTGTGTTGTGTGCAATCTGATCCACAGGTCATTTTATTTTTGCCACATTCCAAAAGCTTTCTTACGATCTACATTGATTAAATTTATAATCCGTATTTCTTAATCCATCGATCAAAGGGAATTATGTTAAACGTATTTTTGAAAAATTATTTGAGACATAAATCGAAGAAAGGCTTTCATTAGATAAAACCCCTCTCAAATAGCCTAGATAAAATAAATGAAATATATTGGAAATGATGAAATGTAAATCAAGGGCAGTTGAACTCCGAAACTAGCTGTCTGTGATAAATGAGGACTGGCGATGAATGTGTGCTTGCCTATTTTATCGTAGTCTAGCTATTTTTTGCATCAATTATGGAGGCAACAAATTAAGAAAATGTTCTACCAATGTATGGCGAGGCTACCAGGGGACAAGAATTCGAAATAGTTAAATCAATAGTCAATGGTTGCATGAGTAAATACAATCACGAGGAAGATTATAACCAGTAAGTGACAGATTATAATAATTTATGTCAACAAAGAAAACTTAAAATAACCTAAATTTTCCAAGGGCACTAAAATCTTAAACATTCGTGAGCTATCAAAGAAGAACCATAGATAAAACATACTCCCTTGGTAGGTTGGTTGGTTTGGTTGGTCTATGGAATAAAACTCATTCATATACTTTTGCAGAATAATGTGTCATAATCAGTTACTTCTTCATTTCTTAGGATGTATTATTGATACTTTTCAATTGGTTGTTTAATATGAGCACTAATGTGAGCTATAAAGTGACCGAAATCATAATTCTGAAATTATACAACAATCAAATGATATGATAGGCAATCATAATAGGTCTATGTGTATCCGGGAAATAGTGATACTGATAAGGACCATGAGAACTTCTCCTATGACGTTTAATTCATCCAGCTATATAAGGGCAAATTTATAGTAGTCTAGTTTTATCAAAAAAATCTTTACAAGACTTAACGATTAAAAACCTGAGTTTATAACAAACTAACTATTAGATTAAAATAATTTATTTTCCTAAAATTCAATATGCATATTAGTATAGTTGGAAAAAAGCTTGCCACAATAGACTACTCTTGTGAATAGCTTTATAAACGACGTGTCGGTCTTAAGCTCGTACATCTCAGAAATTCAGTACGGTAGCTTCAAGAATAGAACCAACACTTTCGCTTGTTAACGGAATCTGTTGTGTTGACGGAAAACGAAATGCCGTCAGTTAGAGGCGCAAGTGCTAAATTTGTAAATTAAAATTGTAGTCGTCTCGTAGCATAGTTTTTCCAATTTCTGTAAACCTACTATTGTAATTGTACATTATATTTATCCCGTCTCACTACGAGAGGGACATTTTAACTTGCATGGACTGTGGCCACTATAAAATAGGTGGAGGAGTTTTCTTGAGTGGTACTTCTGAACCGGCTTGTTATTTTGGAGAGTACAAAATTTCCTGTACAAATTTAGCAGTTACTGATGACATTTTACCTTCAAGCCCATCTTAAACTGTAGTTCTTCATACTTATCCATGAATTCTCTTAAAGAGGATATATTCTTCTGGCACATCTGGGGTCTACTAAAAGCTGTGTGACAATCTGTGCGTAACTTCGACATTAAATACTTTTTAGTTGAAAAAAATACTTTCTACACTTGAATTTAGTTGGAGTTTTTTACTGAAACCGATGGAATAAAACAATTGTAGACCTATTCATGATGTCACCGTACACCGTCACACCGTCTCGCCTTATCAATGCGCAGTGTCGGAGCTGCACTCTTGCGCAGTTGGTAGGCTTGGACACTGCGCACTGGCACTGTATACTGTATTATCACATTGGTCTCGCTCGTCGCTCACAGCAGGCAGTACCGTGGGACCACAGCATCCAAACAGCTGGTAAGTCACACATCAGTGTTGCCAATTAACTGTAAAATATAACAACGATAGAAGATATCATTGTTGACAACATGTTATCAGTAATATATATATATATATCAGTATTATATATAATCACTAGTTACTGTATTAGATCTATAGGTGTAAAACTAACTACACAATCTATATTATTAAAAGAATTTGTTGAATTTTTGTGTGCAGAAAATCGACCCCTAATTCTTATAGGCATTGGGTATCGATTTAAAGCTCTTATCTTCTAGATATGCCTTTTGCGGGCTTGAATGGTTCATGATATCTCATGAAAGTCGTCCTACAGGGTTTTACAATTTCGGAGTTTGTGCTGAATTCTGTTGTCAATAATCTGTACTGTTTTAAGTTTACATTTCTTTACATCAAAACAGATGGTCATAATACAATTTTGTTTACATCCATACGAAAATAGGGGTTTTGGGTAGTCGGTGATGTTTCAGTGAATTCATAGTAAAATATTGTAATGTTATTTGTTTTAAATGTAAAGAAGAAAATTACTTGCGTTAGATTTCGTGTTTTCATAGTATGTTTCATTAGTATTTGTAATTTTTCTAAGATACCTCAAAGAAATCAATTTTAATGTCAAGTTTGAGGTTTGAACGGGTCATCTGAAATTTATCTGGAAATAGTAGTTAATTTTATATTTCAATAATTAGTAAATACTGTACAAATAATATTTCACCTCGTTTATGTATTTTATATACCTATAATCTCATCATATACAATTTTTTCGTAAATTATGCTTTCAAAAAACAGAATTATTTCGAGTCTTATCTTTTGGTTTTATACTAATGGGAATTCCGTTGTGTGTATTCACTTTCCAGGTTATGGATAATGGGTATGGTATGGATTTAGCTAGCTAAAAATTATTAAAATAAGAATTACACGAAGATATGTTTTAAATAAAAAACGTAACTACTCAAATCAATAGACATTAATGATTACTGTACTTTTAAGTAAGCCGTGTACTACCCTAATTATTTATACGTTATTTTATTGTACTCATTGTTTACCTTAAAGCTTTACTAGTTTTACTACTTTCTTACACCAACCTAATTTCTATGTAATTCAGAAAACTGTATTATATTAATGGAAAATCCAATTTACCTATCACAAAACCGCCATTGTGACCCCAACTAATTCAATTTAACATTTATCTTAAGGCCAGTCACACTCGCTGTTGGTTGCATCTAGACCGAGCTGCCTACAAATTACACTACAATAACTGTCAATTGGGATGGTAATTCGTGGTAACCTCAAACAGCTCAGTTGAACCAACAATTACTCCCCTTATCTTCACCTTTAACTGCATCTTGGTAGACAAATAATCTGAGATTATAAAATAACAATGCAACAATGAAACAGCTGATTATGATGTAATGTGTACCTTTGCTTTATTTGCAAAATAGTCGGAACTTAATTTACATTGATCGTAGACAAATAATCTGAGATGACAAAATAACAATGCAACAATGAAACAGCTGATTATGATGTAATGTGTACCTTTGCTTTATTTGCAAAATAGTCGGGACAATATTTACATTGATCGTCGAGTGAGTTGTTTTGAGAATTGGATTTATAAGGTAGGGTTGAGTTTAGTTTGTTCTAATATTTTACATTTGTGATACTTACTTGTGACAAACAGCTGAAACAGCGAGTTTTGTTTTACGTATGTGCGTTTTATACACCACGAAATTTAACATTTAATGGTTAGATACAGTTTTGTCTGTAACAAGAAGGCTTAAGTTTATTTTATGTTTGTCCACATTCGTTAGCAATCATTATGATTATTGTATTTATCATTACAATATAATTATCAGAGATGGGGACGACACATGGGTGCATATTTGAATCTTTATTCTAAAATATTTCACATCATCAATTATGTTTGTAACCTATATTTTACTATCATTATCAATTGAGATTGGGACGACGCTCGACAGATGTTTAACAATGTATTGACTGCCAACTGCATCATCACAGTTGGCGATTAATATTTAACCGCACGTGAATAAAACAACGATATCCAAGAAGTTTAGGTTTGAAAATTCCTTTATTGATGTTCGCAGCAGGGAACATATATATCGTTAATAACTTTTTACTACCTTTAGAATGGTACTTTTCGACATATTTTACCTATGTTTGTAGGTCAGTCATGATAACCCTCAACGTTTGATTATCGATGTGGGAATATGTCACAGCCTTCCTAAAAAAAATTAAGAAATGTATAGCCTATTTTATAACAACCCTTTTTGTGACAAAACAGTGAATAACAGTTGTACAACGTTTATTATTATTGTAAACATTCACTGGTATTTTAAGTGGCAGAACTACGGGACAAACCACACGACGCTTATATACTTTGGTTCTTAATAGTGTCATAAATATTACCACTTACATATTATACGAATAAAATTGAATAACCTCTGCTAGTGGTAGCTATAAACCTTCAAAGTGACCAAGCTGTAAAAATCGTTCATTTTCCAAACCGATGTTCTATGGCAGAAACCGCAAGTTAAATTCAACATGGTCAATTTGTTTCATTGAGTAATACAGTTAGTGAAATTTTGCGAAAATTATATTTTATTTCAATGTTTGTATTCTATGTACAAATTTACGGAGAAGTTTTCCATATGTTTTCAACTTAAATTACCAGGGACGTCGTTTTTTTTTTAAGTTTGGTAGGTTTTTTACTGAAAACCTAAATTATCGATATCAAGTGACTCACTTTGACCTTTCATCATACTTCGAAACATTTGTCATGGGACAATAGCAATGTTGGATTTGCCTTTACCAAAAGGTTCTATTATCCAAAATCCAGCCAAATTCAGTGCCGGCGCCTCGGCCTTGAGTGTGGTCTGTCTCACAGTTCGCTCGGGGGTTCGAGGGTCGAGTCCACCACGATCTGAGTTTTACAATAGGCATTACTTCACCGATGATGAGTCATCCGCGGTATCAGGATGTGGCTGAAGGAGGGGCGGGTGGGATACGACACGAGAGATAAGCGATATCAGCTAGCGATATGAGCGATATTGCTCGTCACCAGTCGCAGATGTCATGTAAATTGAGAACGGGTGGATGCGATAAGATCGATAAGTGATATTATTGTTCATCAGTAGCTAAAATCGTATATAAGGCAATGCGATGCTTCTTTTGTCTGTAAAGTTTGTTAAACCAACTTTATACTTTGTCAAATAACTATGCCTAAATCCATGTAAAAATTAATTAGTTACCGTCCAATCTTGGTTTTACAGTGTCTTTTTAACATGTAAAGGTTTTAACACCCTTAATACTACCTATCTAATATATTACCTAAAACGTTAAAAAAATCGCAGTTACAATTTACCTCCGCAAACTTTGGTGAGGTTTTAGTTAGGTTATGTCCTTTTATATCTTTCAATATGATATGTCCGTGTCAAAAGAAAACAAGAAAGAAAATTCCGTGTAAGAGAAAATTGTCAAAACTAGCGCATACTTTTGAAACATAATCGAAGGTAAAAGTGTCCGTTGTGTTATGACTTTTGATTGGCTGTATGCATATCGGCGTATCTCAACTGAAACAATAGGCTGTAACAATGCTGTAAACACGCGCAGTAGATTATTGCTCATCAGCTGATAATTTATCTCCAACTCGCTATGTTAATAACAGCCAATCAAATCGCCGCATTTCATTTTACGCTCTGAAAACGTTATAAGAATGCGCATTTTTCTGCATTTACTTTTCACTTTTATCGTTGTTAATTGTAGAAAGATATTAATTAACATAACCAGCTGATGAACAGTGGACAATACTAGTCAACAATGCACTATGTTTAACGAACGTACCGAATAAATTAATATTGTTTCCATTGGCCATTAACCTATTTTTTAAATTGTAAAATCGGATGTGTTGTACATTGTACAATTTGAATGTACGGTACGTTTCGTGTATGTTTGAATGGGCTGATCACGCTTTATAATTTCAGAGGGCAGTCAATATTCTATTTGGCTAAAATAGTTTCAAAGTTAGCGAAGTAAAAAGAAATACATACATACAATATTAATGGTCACATTAATATGTGAGCCAAATCACTTCCAATTGAGTTGAGTCGGTTATCAAGTGTTGTATTTTATGTTTTACCGATTAGGTACTAAAATCTTACTAATATTATAAATGTGAAAGTTTGTGTGTTTGTTTGTTTGTTTGTTTGATTAGATCCACTGTTTCAGTTGATGTCCTTATTTGTATATATTATGGCCACATTCATAGCTATTTGTCCTATGGTACCTCACTGTGGGCCAACAGTTTTTATGCTAACAGGTTGCTCTTTACTTTACAAAAGAAGGCGGTGAGGTTAATTTGTAGTGTGAATAGAAGAACACATTGTAAGCCCCTTTTTGTGGGTCTTAACATTCTCACATTTCCATCTTTGTATGTTTTGGCAAGTTTGTTATATGTAAAAGAAAACATTTCTCACTTTGAAAAGATATCTGATGTGCACAACTACTGTACTAGATCAAAAGATAATCTGTCTACACTAAGGCATAAGTATACAGCCACTCAAAATAGTTTTGAGTACCAAGGTGTTAAAATGTACAATTTCTTGCCTGCATCCATCAAAAACCTGTGTGTTTTAAAATTCAAACATGCTATAAAAACTACTCTAACCCAGGCTTGCCTGTATAAACATGAAGAGTACTTTGGTTTAGAGTTTTAGATATTTTAGTTGCCAGAGCCATCTTGATTGTTTTGTTTTTATTTTGACGATTGTCATGAACTTTGTACATAGTTTTAACGACAATAAATCATTTCATTTAATTTCATTTCATTTGAAGTTCAATCACGCATAAACCACTGGACGGATTGGGCTGAAATTTTGCATGATGATAGCTCACATTTCCCGATTAACATATAGCTGCATATTCTTATCTCAAAAATCCTTTCGGGCTCCGCCCCAGTGGCTCTGTAGTTCCCAAAGAGTATTGAATTA